TTCAAAAAATATTCATTGGGAGTCTGCTGTATTCTGGCATTGTTAGATATACAAAGGTAGAGCCCTACCTTCAAAGAGCTTGTAATCTAGTACAAGAACTTAAATGCTTCTCAGAGAAATATTTGTAATTAAATTCAGACAGGAAGGAAAGAGCTCCCAAAACTACATATACTGTATATATTGCTCTCTCCTTTGACATCTCAAAGCCTTTTCTATAACTTCCCTTTTATGCAGTATGTACATTATGGCTAAAACCATTATGCCTGTTTTGTAAAACATGGAGGAAGAATATGTAATTAGCAGACTATGCAGTCTACTTTCTGTTCTCACCGCTAATTCTTTCTATTCTGAACATTTAGGCTTTGAAAGCCCCAGGGTTTTGAATGCCATTGTTATCACATCAAGACACTTGTTGCTGAGAAAGATAAAATATGGGCAATTCGAATATACCTCTGGTACGGTGGTTTTCAGTATGAGTGAGACCACAGCATCAGCTGGGAATGCCTCAGTGCAAATTCTCACGTCCCTCCATCCCACCCAGCTTATTGAATCAGAATCCTTGGTGGGGCCCTGCAGTCTGTATTTTAACATATATTTAAAAGGTGAGAACCACTTCTAGTAATTCAGACACACTTGCACTCAATTGTAGATACTAATTAAGGCAGGTAAAGCAAGCACATGATTATCCAAGCCGAGAGGTGTGTACATTAGACCTTGATTCATTGCATTTCACTTTATTGAAATCTGCTTCAGACACTAACCACAATTGAGGCTTGAGATATCATCATGTGTGTTATAAAATGTATATGGGGTAGGTACAGTCAGATGAACAAAATCTGCAAAATCTGCAAGCCACGAGCCTTCCATATCGTTTTATACTATCTCGAAGGTTACACTCTTCAAGTTTTAGAAGCTTCTCTCTGTCGATGCTGCCTGTGTTTAATGCATGTCATTCATGTCACTGATAACCTGGGTCTCTGATGTTACTGTCTGCCTCTGTCTTTATATAAAGTCTTTCTCTGCTTCCCCTTTTTTTTTTCTTGATTTGGTGCTCCTTTCTCCTACTATTATTTTGTTCTTACTGATTTAATATAGGGCACTTATGGAAGAGTTTTGCATTCTCTTTTTTCATTAATTTTTAAAGCAAACAAATGGGATATTTGTTATCAAGAGGTAAAAACGAAATGAGGTTGCATTGCTTTTCAATTTATGTTGCCCTCAGAGATTTTTCCCTTCCTCTCTAGCTAGAAAAATATTTGGGGGAAAAAAATGTTAGAGAGATTAGAGTGTGACTAGTCATTTATTATTATTCTCTCTTTTTTGTAAAATGTGAGCCCAATTCTTCTTCCTTAGTTACAAAACTAAAGGAGATGATTACGTTTGGTCTGAAGTACTAAGGCCCATTTAGTGTGGAAAAACTTCTAGATCACCTGTGCTGAGTCCTGTTCCTCTCCCCGTACCTCGCTCAGCTCCAGTCTGTCGCAGAGCCTCATGGACTGATAAGATCTCCTTTCAGATCATCTTTTGCTTTACATTTGTGGGTGTGTTTTCAGTAAAGTACAGCACATTGAGAAAAGGCACAGATCATGAGTGTACATCGAGATGAATTTTCACAGTGTAAACACACCCATGTAATAATCACTACCCAGATCAAGAACTGGAACATTGCCAACATCCAGACACCCTCCTTCCCACATGCCCAGGCACTCCTACCTCCTCCCTAAGGTAACACTAAATCCTAAAATCCTACACTCGTGGTACCTATTTTGGGGCTTTATATAAATAGAGTTATACCATATGTATTATTCTGTGTTTGGTGTCTTTAAGTCAACATTATGTTGGTGAGATTTGTCCATGTGTCATAGGTGGCAGTAGTTTATTTTCAGTGCTGCAGTTTATTTACATTGTGAGAACACATCACAATTTATTTGTCCGTTCTCTTGTTGATGAACATTTCGAGTGTTTTGAGTTTGGGGATATTACAGATTCTCGTTCGTGTCCTTTGGTACACAATATATATGAATTTCTTTCGGGTGTATACCTAAGAGAGGGATAGAATATATATCCATTAAACTTTAGCAGAGACTGCGTACCAATTTGCCAAAGTGGTTGTAACAGGTCACACTCCCGCCAGCCATGTATACGAGTTCTAGTTGCTTCATATCCTTTGTGGCACTTGATATTGCAAGTCTTTATAACTTTATTCATTCTGGTAGGTGTGTAGTGGTCTCTCTTTGTGGCTTCAATTTGCATTTTCTCAATAACTATGTTGAGCACCAATGTTTGTTGGTCTTTTTGATATCCTCTTTTGTGAAATTCCTTTTCAGATCTCTGCCCATTCTTCTATTGGGTTGTCTATCTTGTTGATTTTTTAGGAATTAGTTATATATACTGGATAGGAACCCATTGTTGGATATCTACTTTACATGTATCCTCCTGCTCTTTGTCTTTGGACAAATACTTCTTTTAACAGGATTCAATCCTTTCCTTTATGATCCTATTAAAGAACCTCTGCTTCTATCATTAAAATGTTTTTCCATGTTATTGTCCAGAATTTTTAGATGTACATTTAAATATATAATCTAGCTGGAATTAGATTTTAAGTAAAGTTTGCAGTGGGGTTTAAAATTTATTTTCACCTGTATGCATTATCTCGGGACCATTAGGATTTGGGGTTTTTAGTGTTTTTGTTTGTTTTGGATATTTTCTTAGTTTTTTATTTTATTATTATTTTTTAGTTTTTTATTTTAGAATAGTTTTTGATTTGCAGAAAAGTTGCATAGGTAGTACAGAGAGTTCCCATAGACCCCTCACCCGGTTTCATCTGTTGTCATCATCTTACACTACTATAGTACATTTGTCATAGCTAAGGAATCAATATTAATATGTTATTAACTAAAATCTATATGTTATTCAGATCAGATTAGGACCATTAGTTTCGGACAAATGGAAGTGCTATTGACGAATGATTCGAGACTACATGCTATTAACTAAACCTTCAGTAACAAAGTCTATCATAGTGAGAATCAGCTGTCTTTGGTCTCAGCCTAAGCTGTAGAACTCATTAGGGCTCACGTAGTGTGAACTTAGATCCTGTGCAATCTCTGGGGAGGAAGTAGGAAAATCTTAAAATTAAAGGCACTCCAGGTTTGTGGTCAACTTAAACTCTCATCCCTAATCTTGAAAATTCTGCCTCTCTGAATTTTAAAAGTGTAATGAGTAGCCTTTTCCTTAAGTCCTAGAGACTTTAGTTTTGTAATCTTTAACCAAAGTTTAAAATACATTGATGATAAACAGCTTTTTTAGTCACCATGCTGTGCCTTATATCCTGAGGACTTCTTTATCTTAGAACCAGAGTTTGTACCTTTTGACCACCTTCACCCATTTCACCCACCCCTCACCTCTGACAACCACCAATCTGTTCTGTTTCTGTGAGTTTGGGGTTTTTTTTAGTTTATACATATAAGTGAGACAATATTTGTCTTTCTCTGTCTGACTTGCATAATGCCCTCAAGGTCCATTCATGTTATTGCAAAAGGCAGCGTTTTCTTTTTTGGATGAATAATATTCCATTGTGTGTTTATGTATATACATGTGCGTGTGTACATAATACCACATTTTCTTTATCATTGATGGACACTTAGGCTGCTTCCATGTCTTGGCTATTGCATATAATGCTGCAGTGAACATGGGGACACAGATATCTTTGAGATAGTATTTTTGTTTTCTTCAGATAAATATCCAGAAGTGGAATTGCTGGATCATAGTTCTATATTTTATTTTTTGAGGAACCTTCATACTGTGTTCCATAGTGGTTGCCCCAATTTACAATCCCACCAACAATACATAAGGATTCTCTTTTCTCCCCATCCTTGCCCACACTTGTTATTTCTTGTCTTTTTGATATAGCCATGCTCACAAGTGTGAGATGATGATCTTGTGGTTTTGATTTGCATTTCCCTGATGATTAGTGAAGTTAAACACTTTTTCATATACCAGTTGGCCATCTGTATGCCTTCTTTTGGAAAAATGTCTATTCAGATCCTCGGCCCATTTTTTAATTGGTTTGTTTATTTCTTCTATTGAGTTTGAATTCTGTGTGTGTGTGTGTGTGTGTGCGCGTGCGTGCGTGCGCATAAAAATTTTATTTTTTGGATATTGACCTTTTATCAGATAGATGTTTTCTCTTATTTTGTAGATTGCCTTTTTTGTTGTTGTTAACGGTATTCTTTGCTGTAAGAAGCTTTTTAAATAGATATAGTCCAACTTTTTTTTTGCTTTTGTTGTCTTTATTTTTGGTGTCAAATCCCCAAAAAATCATTGCCGAGGCTGAAATCAAGAAGCTTGATTTCCCCCTATGTTTTCATCTAGGGGTTTTACAGTTTCAGATCTTATATTCATGTCTTTAATCCATTTTGAGTTGTTTTTTGTGTATAGTATAAGATAAGTAACTCTGATGAACATATTTTTACAGAGCTAATATTAATGCCAGATGTCTTTGGGAAGAAGGCCTCAGTGTGTCACTTTGGCCTTGGATGTGAGTGTGTGGAAAACTGTCAGATCCAGTCTCCTCTCTTCTCGGCTTGGGCCTGGCGAGCGTCACCATGACCTTTAGTTCTAAAGAAGGCAAGAAAGAGACGGCTGGACCTTTTACCGCAGACTTTCCTATCACTCGCTTCTTCTAGACTTCACTATAACAAACCTCAGTGGTGCCAGCGTGTTTCAAGCATCCCTGACCGTCTTCACTATTTTTACTTTTTAACTTAAAATGCATACTCAGCCCCAGTGACCATCTTTCACTTTGACAACGGACATTTAAATTATAGTGAGAAAGCAAGGAAGGCCAGCTGGCCTTCCCCATTAATACTTTATGAAATATTCATTGTTCTTTAACCCAGCCACAACCCCTATTCTGGATGACACTTTTATAGCTGACATATGGACCCTGGATGCACACATGCACACTTGGGTCATTTTCTCTTTGTCCTGCCTCCCCTCAGTACCATGAGCTCTCGTCACTCTGCCAGCCCAGTTGTCTTCACCAGTGCCAGAAGTTCACCTAAAGAAGAGCTTCATCCTGCCACCTCCTCGCAGCTCGCACCTTCCTTCTCTTCTTCCTCATCCTCTTCATCTGGTCCTAGGACTTTCTACCCGCGCCAGGGCGCTACTAGCAAGTACCTGATTGGATGGAAAAAACCCGAAGGAACCATAAACTCCGTGGGGTTCATGGACACAAGAAAGTAAGAATTCTTTCGCTTCTCTTACTGGGTGGTTTGCTTTTAACATGGCAGAGACTAGAAGAGTTTGGGGCATTTACTACAGACAAGGAGGCAGGGCTGGTGGTGAAGGGTTGGTTTGGTAGAGAGATTTTTTTTTCCTAAGTAAAACTTGTCTTAAAGTACTTCTCCCCCTCATTCCTTAAATAAAATGTATTGTAATACATTCAGATCTGAGAATATTTGATCTCCCAGGAAAGAGTAAAGCAGTCCCCCCTTATCCATGGGGCATACATTCCGTAACCCCCAGGGGATGCCCGAAACCGGAGGATCCTGAGCCCTACATACACGAAGTTTTTACCTATACTGTGATAATGTTTAATTCATAAATCAGGCACAGTAAGAGAGTAACAGCAATAATAATAAAATAGGATAATTGTAATCAGAGTTCTGTGAATGTGGTTTTTCTCTGATAACCGATCTGGTAACTGACTTGGCTGCTAAGTGACTAACAGGTGGATAGTATTTACAACATGGATGTGCTGGACAAAAAGGTGATTGATGTCTTGCGGCGGGGGACAGTGCAAGATTTCATCACTCAGCTCAGAATGGAACATAATTTAAAGTGTATGAATTACTATTTCTGGAATCTTTCATTTAATACTTTTGGATCATGGTTGACTGGGGGTAACTGAAACTGCAGAAAGCTAACCCTCGGATAAGGGGAGGTTACTGTATGTCTGAAGAACAAACTTCAGAATAATGGGCCCCTTCGTGTAAAGACCACACTTGTCCCTTTGGTAATATCGATCACAGCCTTCCCATGTGATTCTTGACCAGGCCAGGAGGCACGAGAGGGAATGTTAGAAAGTGACTGCCCCTGACTAGAAAGGACCTTTTTATAAAGTAGTACAGAAAAAAAAATAAATGATTCATTCAATTATTTTGTTTTTGTCTATACGAAAATTGCATTTGCGATTCATACCCTGTGGTTTTTTTATGAATACTTCTGTTGCTAATTTTGGATTGGTAGAGCTAACAGTTTCCTGTAAAAGAATGATTTTTTTCCATCAGGCTTTTTATTTTGTGTTTCAAATTGGATTTGTTTCTTTAGCAAATATTTATCTGAGTAGATTGTAATAAAATTGAACAGAATTCTCCTTTTCTCTCCTATAATATTTCTCCATTGACATACATCCTTCAGAGCCCACTGTGCCCTTCATTCAACCTTACTGATTTAGTTCCTACCATCTCTT